GACTACCCCAACTTTTGACGTGACACTAGTATTTACAGTCCATTATATTTTCATATTTGAAATGCAAAGTACTACATAACAGTCATCTGTACAACACATACATTTACCTATGAAAATTATCTGTCAGAACCTACAAACTGACCTCAGTCACCGACAGCGTCTGTTAACGTTTTTGCAAACCATGAGCTTCGAGTAATACCAGGAAAACCCTAACGGCTTGTTTTTATAGTATCCTATTATACTTGCCAAAATTTATGAATACATGGAATGTATAATTATAATGTTTAACATTTCCCATACACCAGCTGTCACTATTGTATCTATTTTTCATGTAAATTATACTTTATATTTTTAAAGTTTAATTAAATTGCATTTTTTCAACAGATCTTTTAGAATATAATTTATTTTTGGAATATTAAAAACATACAATGATTCAGTTTTCTATGCATTTGTAAATACATTGTTTTTGTTTTAATTAAACTTAGTTTATCGTACCTTTCTTTGAATAATTGTGTTTGTAAAAAAATCATTCTATTTCACTTATTAATAACACGTATACTGATTAATAAAGCTTTAGTATTCGATTAAATGTTATTTAGGGTATTCAAAACCTACCCTAAATAACAAATTTTTCTCTATAATGTTTAAAAATCAAATGATAGTGCACCTAAACGATTATATTAATTTTCGAAACTAGATCACTATGATGACTTGGACCGCTGGAAAGTCAGTACAATTCACATGGGACCCTACAAATATCTATTTAAATATATCATGAACTAAGTGTTAGTCATTATAATTGCAATGTCTTTAGATGACTTTTTCTCCGTTCCACCATCGCATGAAGTAAGAACTTTTTTTCTAGACCGACGTCTTCAATTTATTAAGTATAAATAAACAAAAAAAAAATTATTTTCAGAAAAGTAGTAAAAAATGTACTACCTGTTAATTTACATCGTGGTGACTACTAATATGCGTTATGGTAATTTTTTAGTGTTTGAAGTTGTAGGCTAACAAAAACAAATAAATTTGACATATTATTGTATTAATTGATTTAGTGTTAGCAAACAGTTGTATTCAATCAGCACTACAAAGTTCAGTTTGCATCATTTAAATGAAATTTGAAGGGTCTATATTGGTATGTGGTTCACTGAGCATTTAAATTCTAAACTCAATAATAAGATGTGTTTGGTTATGTAAAGCAATACGATATCATCAAACAGAATCTGAGTAAAAATATCTGGTAAAATATTTTTACCGGATAACAATCAAACGAGCGTATAAATCGAATATGAAAATACACAGTATAAACCTTCCTTAAAATCTTAAAAAAATTTCTATTCGTTACATTATAATAAGTAACTATTACAGTATATATTGTCACCAGTATAGTGGGGACCTGGCATAGAGTCTACCGGAGTAGCCTCTAGTATAGTTTGAAATTTTACTGTTATTATGAATACAGTCATACTTCCCATTAAAAAAAATTGTTTGGGTATTTTGCCAACCCAACCTCCTGGTAGGATGAAAAAAAATTATTTAACTACTTATTATTATAAAATTTTTAGAATCAAAAATTTTTTCAATAGTTTCTATAAAAAATAAGCGTCTTATTTTTAATGTTGTACTCTGTAAACAACACAGTTGCAATAATAGTAATCATATAATATTAAATAATACGTAAATTAATTAACAAGTTAATGATATTATTCTGAAATATTGAATTTTAACAATGGCTCATAGCTAAAGCAAATTATGTTGTTGGGATAGTGCCTTACAAGCTATTGTTTTACTTTGACCTCACTACGGAACTTGACATTTATTTCACTACAGTAAATTTGATAAATAAACAAATATTCTACATTTTTTATATTTCATTATTATTTTACAAAAAAATATTAGGTAATTGAGATTTAGATACAAGTTATTTTTATGATTTTATTCATAAATTAATAATAGATACGATGCGTTTCTGAAAAGGTATTGTTTTCGTTATATTGTGTATTTAATGAATAATTTTACATAATAGAGAATGATTAACTTCACTAAAACACACTAGTTGATAATTTGTTTATTGTTTTTTTAAAATAAATTGTAACATAAAAATTAAATTACATGTAATATTTTTTAACATTATAAATTCTATAAAATTTATGAAGAAAATAATTACACTTTTCGTGCAATTCTTTAAAAAAGTTGAAATTTTCACTCATTAGAAACACACAAACATAAAAACTCACTTTGTTATTCACGTATGCATTTAAACACATCCTCTTTTTGTAAAATATGTAACCAGATAATACTTAACCATCCTTTGAAAAATACACTGTGTCATCTTAACAAATATCATTGAGTCTAACACGAAATTATGTCTCTGAGTTATAAACAAAATACTAAATTTTATAATTTCCCAATTGTGAACAACCTTGAGTTAAAAAATATACGAAATTTCATGTACGTAAATCGATGAAGTGCTATAAAATCAAATTTAATGGTATTTCTACAAGAGAAATCACCGGAGGGATTGTTAAGAATTTTTTTATTATGAATGAATACCTGTTGTTATAAAAATGGTATATAAAAATAATATGATCTCAGTTCCTTAAATATTAAGAACAAGCATCTCATGTACTACGTGAAAAAAACAAAGGTAATAAAATACATCGATTTGATTACCTGCATGAAGAACAATAAAACAATAAATTGTAAACAATAACATTATATATATATATATATATCAGTGGAAATATCTGTATACGAATGCTGCTATTTCATTTTTAAAGTAAAATAATAAAATATGTTATTTTATAAAAATACTGTGCAGAACTACACACAACAAGTACAAGTTATTATTTTTAACTAAGTTTATTCATTTTTTATTTTATTGAGCTTTTTAACATTTTATTGTAAAAATGTATCTTAGTTATTTACTAATTTTAATTTTAAAAATGTATGACTATTTCATTTTTTTAATTAACAGTAATTATTACCTACACAACCCCATTCAATCCCCTTGTTAAAATATTCAGCACTATACAATTATTACATGATGAAGGCTTAAAATTAATTTTAATGGATGTAATTAATTCGTTTTTTTCTTAATGTGGGAGAACTTCACATTTTATAAACTTCGTTATTTTTTTATCGAAATCATTGTTATGAAAAAAATTAAATTATAAACATTTATAGGAATATTTGTGGGCTTCAAATTTTGTTCGTCATAATTATAATCGTTCTATAAATAATTAATTGGTATAAAATGAGTGCATAAATGAATTGAAATGCTTAAAATTTTCAGTATAAATTGCACTTTACAAACATACCGTAATAAAAGAGTCGAAAATATTGTTATAATATTGTTTGTATAACGTTAAATTAATGTTATAAAAATGTTTTGATAACATTATTTTTTTAAATTGTTATCTGGGTATATTCAATGAATAAATCAAAATGCCGAGTCGATATTAATATTTCATGTGTATGAAATATAATTTTAGTATAGTTCTGCTAAATCTAAAGCGGTAATTTATTAATATTTTTTATGTAAAAAAACAACCAACTAGTAATTTTAACATTGTGCATGTGTACTACAAGCCTACGCAATACGTGCAATTCAATATGGTTATTTAATAGTAGTAAATTTAATAAACAATAATAAAAATGAAATTATCATTTTATTAAGCCATTGGAAAAAAACATTCAACAATTACTAATACAAATCAAATCACTCGTTCAAATTTTAACACGAATGCGTAGTACAATAACAAAAAATATATATCGTGAAAGTTGGTCATTTTTCTATTATAAAAAAAAAAAATACTCAATATTTACAAAATAACCGAATGGATTTCTTTCCTTCGACTCTTTCGATAACGTTGTTCAATTTCAACGCCTATCACACGAGAATAAATATATAGGGACGTTTTTTTAGAAAACTATAAATTTATATCTTCATACTTTGATGTGTTATATTTAATTACGCTATAAAATTCTAATGCTATGCGTATTACCCTAATAATACACGTGATGACAATACAAACAAAACATTTTCTTTTTTGTCGCGAAGTAATGTGAAATTTACATTAATTTTAAAAAGAAACGCCATAATGCTCGTTTTATATAAATGCGATCTTCAATTATTTAATTTCTCAATTATTGTTTTAGTTTTGAATTATATTTCCCTTAGTAAAAACGAGTCACCGTGAAAACAATTATCAAGTAACCATAAGCTTATTTATTATTGACAATACAATGAACAATACCGGTGCTAAGGTTAGCGCGTTTCCTTATAAATTAAAAATTGCGAGGCCTCCAAATCCCAAGATTATAAAAAAAGCGCATGGCCCTAAGCGATCACATATCATGTCCACCCTTAATACCAACCAACAGTGTATTTCTTTCGAAATACTAAATTATATGCAATTGCTTTTTAAGTTTTTTTTCAAAGTATAATCGCCCGTAAAAAAAACTTAATCCCAAACTGAATTACATCTGATTATTTTATAATTACAACTCATTACAGTTTTAACTGCGTTAATAATTTTCGTTGCTTTCAATATTATTTATTCCGACATATTTTATTTAATCAAATTTTCAGCATAAAAACTTCTCTGGATAGAATAATTAAATTATGTAACATGATTATGAACAGTGAATTTAAAAATTATTTTTTATAGATATTGCACTGCTATAACGATAGCGTACTAAGTATTTTTGAGTATTTAATAAAAACTAAAGACACGCGTTTTGAAAACAATAAGTCCAATATTTTAAGCGTATTTGTCGTTATTATATCTTGTACAATTAAAAATTTATTTTATAATTGATAAAACAATTAACTCGTGTCTCTTCAAAATATTCATTTTTACAATTACAAAGCATTTTTAAGCTATTCGCTGATACTGTTCTATTCATAAATGAGCTAATGAATTTAACAAATTTAATTTTAAGCAACGAAGAATACAGATACCTTTGCACTAATCAACAATTAATTTTTTCAGGAAGTGTCCATATTTGTTTTCGAAAAAAAATTGGCTGATAAATTACACAAACCCCGACGGAAAGAAACAGTAACAGAAATATTGAAAAAGAGTGTTCATTATTTAGAGATGCTAAGGCAGCCAAAACTCATACTAAAGGTTGTACATTCGGTGGAAGACTGTAACGAAACACTAGCTTTTGCTGCCGAGCCCGTTATAGCTAGTCTTGCAAATATATTGGCATATCAAGCGTCTATTGGAGGCAGGTCAGGCAGTGGACCGCCATCGACAGGAGCTTCTCACACAACATCTGCATTGCCCAGACCAGCTCATGCTCGGGAGTACAACTTTTTAGACTTTGAAATTAAATACGGAATTAGACAGGTATTTAATTCATTTATTTTATCAATCGATGTATTGTATAGCGATAGTAATATGTATTTAATATACTAACCTCGGGTGATATAAAGAATTGTAAAAACGATATTGCTTCAATTAAAAAGTACCGTACAACATATCTTTAATCTTACTTTTGACTATACTGCTTTATAGATTATCTAATATTAAAGTCAGTTATGTGAAATTTTACTTTTAACTTTACAAATGCCATCAGAAAATAAATCATCCAAACATGATAACAAAATTAGCGGCTAATCAACGTATATCCCCTGTAATATATTACTTGAACGAGTATTGAAAAATGAATTTATTCAATCGTACCAAGCAAAACCACGGCATTTATAAACTAATCATTATAAATTCCAAAAGTTTATTATGACGTGTTTATATCGTTATTTGTATTTAACTTCAATCTTGTCGAACCCCAATTCAACTTGTTTGACCGTTTTCCAGACATAATTTATGATAAACATTTTCAAGGCCATAGTAATGAAGTGTACCCTAGTAAAATCCGAATTCATGAAGTTAACATTCAACAATTACATGATGTAATTGTTAACTTGTAATTCATTAGAAATTTAATGTTGGATACTGTTAAATTGCCTAGGATGTTGTGTTTATGTTAAACATTATTTTTTATTCTTAAACACTTATTTAATATTCCTCTATTAAAACACTGTAAAATACATTAGGTTGTTTTAATAAAACAACATTTATTTTTTTTTCCTTTTTGTAAGCAATAAAAATGCGTAATTGAATAGCATAATTATTTTAAAAGTACAAACTCTTATCAATCGGAAAATCGTTTGAAACACTTAATGAGTAAATTAAATGCTTTCCTCGGTTATATTAACATTATTATTTTCTTTCTACATAAATGGAAAAGTTAGTGTAAATTAAATTAAAAATTTTCTTTTTACATTCCAAACATATCATTCAATAGAGCCTTTTACGAAAACAAAGAACGAAAGATAAATATTGCTTCAAGAATTTAATAATAAAATTAATGTGAAAATTAATTCTCTTGGCATATTATAACATTTAATTAACAACTAAAATTATAGCATGGAATTAATTGAATTATTTTTAATTTATCTTATCATTAAGTTAGTTTCGAATTCATAACTTTTGTGAAATAACTAGGCACTTAACAATCCATTCATGTTACGGAGCTAGTATATAAAATATTTAATGAAAATTGAATAATAAAAATACATAATTAATAAATCTCTTCTAAATTCATTAATTTAAGAAAAATTGTGTTGATTTTCATTTACTATATTATTGATATCGCTGTACTAATTCCTGTACTTTTTTCGTTTAACAAAACTATAATAATTTAATCATAACAACTTGAGCTTATACATGATTAATTACATGTATACTTAATTTAGTGTAAAAAAAGTAACTTCCGTACCATGTATCAATAAACTATAGCTAAAATATATAAACAATATTTAAAGAAAGAGTATTCACGTTTCATAGAATTAAAAAACTACAAATTTTTAATGGGATTTAACTATGTATCGTTAAATTTGTTATTATTAGTATTTATCTTTAAATTATTAGTAAAAATATTTTAAAAGAAGATTTTTGTAGCATCCCATGCCTCTCAAAGTTGATACTAAATTTATTGAATGAACAATTATATCAAATTCTAATTCTTTTGATGTTTATTATTTTAAAACAATATTTCAATTATTTGCATTATACTTATTTAAACATTAATTATTTGTCATTTAACTTACAATAATACTTATGTTATACTACTGAAATATTTTAATATTAATAACAAAAGAATCGGTGGCATATTGTAGACATGACATAGTTATAGTGGACAAGTTTAGATGATATCTAACAGTGATTAACATCATTATCATAAAAAAAAGCTTTGATGCAAATCTGTAGATAGTGTCTAGTTTTAAAAAATTGGTGGATTATTCCAAAAGCAAAATTAACTCTTATTTTTTGTTCTACTTCTACTGCCATTTGCATGTAGGAAATAGGTCATCAACAAAATTTTTTTTTCAACTTTTACTCCATAAAATAAGCTTTATTTTAACATATATTTAAAAGATACAGTATTCCCGGAACATTTTCAAAAGTTAAGTTGAAAAAGTTCTACTTTTTGTACGTATGTTTCAAGTTTTCAAAGCCTCATGTATAAGGGTAAATTTGCAGATTTCAAAAAAAGTATGTCGCATGAAAGGGGTATAAATAATGTATTTAGAAACAAACATTTGTGTTGATTTATACATTTTCAAAAAGTTATAGCAAATTAAAGTTGAAAATTTTAACACAAAAATAGCATTTTTTTTAACTCTGGCAGCCGTTCACACGTAAAAAATAAGTTTTCGGGAATTTTTATTTTTTTTATTTTATAGTATGTAACATAAGTTTTGATTTGACATATGTTTAATAGACTTAGTATTTTTGGAACATTATGAAAAGTTAAGTTGAATAAGTTTAAATTTGTAAAAATTTGCTATTTACCTGAGGGCAGGTAAAGGGTCAAATTTTCAAAAATATTAATTTTATCAAATAAAATGGAATTACTTATGGTTTCAATTCAAAAAAAATTATTTTGATTTGTTAATTTTTCAATAAGTTATGGCAATTTTTAGAAAAAAAAAAGTGAAAAAAATGTCGAAATTTACTGACTTTAAAAATCGTAATTTTGGGGGGATTTACGGAGAATGAAGGAAATTTTTTCAATTTTTATGGGTAATGTCTTCAGCTAGATGCGATTTGTGATCTTTTGACGTACCGAAAAATCGGTTCAGTGAAAAAGTAATGACAGACAAAAAATAAATAAATAAACATCATGGTAAAATTAATTCCTTCTCAGCTTCGCATCGATGCTAAAATTAAAGTGATTAATTTAGAATCGCGTTGTAATTTTTAGGTGGTACAAATACAGGAGCACTAAAAGATTTTTAGCACTCTTCTAGTTATCTATGATTTTAAGAATGAATGAATACATGATTAAAATACGCATAATTAATACTAAAATGTTAATACAATGTAAGGTTTTAAATTATATTTTTCTTAATTAAAAAACGGAAATTATAAATGCTGAAATTCAAGTTTATTATTTGTTATACTTACAAATCTAGTGAACTATAAGTATCAGTGCCGAATTTTCATGAATTGTATCAACCTTGCTATGACTTTAATTATTTTTTTACTAAATTTACTACAATAAGTTTCTTATGTATATATTTTTTATGTGTGTCGCTTCGAGAAGTTTTAAACCAATATATCAGTTATTGGGTAAACGAAAATTTGAAAAAAATTTATTCAAATACATTCTATTTTTTTTTATATGGCCTCGATTTTTAGTTTACATCATGACCATTTGAATGTAGTTCCAACACTGATATGAATTAATTTCTGAGAATTTTATAAATAATATTCTTTATTTATTGTTAAATTTATTTAAAAAACAATTATACTTCTCAATTAATTTAACATGCAATCTATCAATTGTATTTTATTTATTATAGAATTTTCAGCATATTTATTATTATAATTAAAAGCTTCGCATCGAAGCTAAAAAAAAAATTATTTAACTTTTAGTTAAAGAATTGTTCAAAACGAAGTTATTATTGTATTTAAAATGTATTTAAAATATTTGAAAAAAACATTTTATAATTCAAAACTAATTTTTAATGATACTTTGCGTTCAACCTTTTTAGACTTTAAAACATTAAATATTTCGTAAAGAATAATAATAAAAGAAATAAGAAGAATTTATATACAATTTGAAAATCTAAAAACTCATGGGTCATTATTTATAAAAAAAATAGTAAAATATTACAAGTGGCATCCTCTATATACGCTCTTTTAAAACCCACATAGACTTACTGCAATTATATAGCATTATATAAATCATTTGCAACTACAAACTTTTTGTGTGGGCTGATTTAATATAGCTCGTTTGATACCTACAACCTTATTATCTCTAAATGTAAAATAACTCTTTAATAATTTTAAGCTATACTATGGACTCAGAACAAAAATTCAAATCAATTTTATAATACTCTAAGTGCATTTTTCTATATGAATAAAATATTTAATAAAAATATTCAGACAAAAGTGCAATTATACTTTTTGTTTTCCATAATTTTGTTGTTTTATTTTTGTATTACTATTATAGGAAAAAGGTTACCAAAATAATAAGTAAAAATATGTTTGGGTAATTTAAAAAAGTTACAAGAAAAACAGATTAAGTAATGAACTAGGCTAAAATCGCTGTTTGATAATCTAGGTAACTTTATTAATATTAAATAGAAGTTTTTAACTTATATAACATTTAAAAACATTTAAAAATAACAAAAAAATCAGTCTTGTTTTTAGAAAAAAACTGAGATTTAATTTTTAATTTAAATACTATGTTTTATGCTACCTTTTTTCATTTTAAAATTACAAAAATTTAATTGGATAAATTAAAAATTAATATAATTAGAGCTTTTGCATTTATATAGCATTCACTTATATTAAAATGGATTCCCGGCACTGATCCAAATAATTTTTAAGTTTAAATTAAATTGAAAATATACGTCTACTTGTTATTAAATTAATTTCTGTACTTAGAGGTAAATAGTGCTACAGTATCTTTTGATAAGTGGGGACTACCCCTTAACCTATTATAATCATAATTTCAGGTGACATTTGAAAATTAGAATAAACATTGTTCATATAATAAACTTACTGGTGTGTATCATCTCTATTTTAAAACTGTTTGTTTTTCTTCCTCTGTATATTTTATTTTAAAAACAGAGAAAAGAAGTATAAAGTTTAACCTCCCTGAAAGCTTTTCCTGGAAACATTAATAATGAAATGTACTTACATAGTGGTTAATTCTCTGTAACGTATACACATTTTTTTGTTTTGATAAGATTAAATATCAATGCTATTCAAAAGTTCTCCCACATTTAAATAACTGAAATAAGGTCTCAGATTATGAATTTTATATAAATCGTTCATTTTAATTGTCCAATCACATTATTTCTACACGTTTATTATTATTATTGTCAATTTTCTTATCATTACAATTTATTATCATCAATTTTTAATATCCAAAAAAATCTATCAATTATAAAATTTTATTTCATTCATAACTAAGTATATGTATCAATCATACTTTATTTGACAGTTCATTGGGAAGTAAATCAAGTTATTGTCTGATTAATTGTTTTGCATTAGTGTAAAAAGTAATAATAAAATACTTTATTTAACCAATGGCATAATTATTCATATCTTGACATAAGTGAATGGTGTAGTTAAAAAATTACTTATCATTTTGTGTTTTATTGATGTGTCAATGATTAATTTATTTGTAACAATATTGCCATCGCTTAGTGTTTTTAAACATAACTCTAATGAAAAGGTTTAAAATAAAAAAAAATTGTAATAAGTTGTTTGAAATGGAAATATCATTTAAATTGGAAATTTATTTTAAAATATCAACAAATATTTTTAAAAATATTTAAGTTTTTTTAAATAGTTTTATCAAATTTAACGTTATGTTACTAATTACAGATAGCAGAAGCTCTGGATTTTTTGTCTCCGCAAGTACATCACCATAACGTTTGTCCAAGCAGTATACTTGTTACGAAAACAGGCACTTGGAAACTTAGTGGTTTGGAATTTATTGGTAAGTACTACTTTGTGCATTTATTATAAAATGGATTATGAACTACAGCTAAAGTCTAAGTTTTCTTAAATAAATTGTTACTTGCAATCTGTTATGTTTTAATCTATAATCTGAGAGTTATGTTATAAAAAAGTAATTTAATAACTTAGCTACTGTTTGACTCAAATAACCGGACAACAATTCGACAAGTTTGGTCTCGTCTTTGAAATAGGTAAAATTAAAATTAATAAATCATATTTTTGTGGACTGTAATTTTGTAATCTTTATTGCTATTAGTCCATGCGATAATAACAATTTTTGTATTTACCTGTAATTAGTTACTGAAGCTTTAAACAATGTAATACGTATAGAATTATTTACACATAATATTCTTAACAGACAAATTATATACACACATTGAAATTGTTAATCGTTTGACGCTCCTTAGTACCAAATGAATATTATTCGGCGATTCAACCGCACAAATGGCGAATATATAATATGAAAATATTATAGTAAAAAATCTTCAGTCAATCATGTGTCACAGTCGAACCCGATACAATTAGTTATAAACACTTTAAGATTCTTTCGCTGAAGACTAGAATAAAGTTTTGCGTATTAATTGTATTGAACAAGTCGCAATAGACGAATTTCATAAAAAAAAACATCAAATAAAATAAAGCAATCCGTGTACATCTGCTGCACAACGTTTACGTTTAAAAAGCACTCCGGACACATCTGTTTTGTAACAGTAGTGTCACCGATTAATTTTTGATTAAACTCTTCCTCAGCTGTAGGTGGTATAATTACGGACGGGTTTTCGACGATAAAAAATGTTCGAGTCTTTAATTGCTGATTCGAATGACGACTCGGATAACTCTTGCAGCGAATCGAATATAATCCAACCCAAGTTGGTACTCATGACTGAAGGCAAATCCGGACTATGAATTATATCCGCTGTTTGTGGTAATAATTGTGGATACTAATCACTACCGATTAACATATTAACTGATGACGGAACATCAAATCTAAGATTAAATTTTTATAACGCTCACGTACCGTGTTAGGCAAATTAGCATGAGACATAAATCTGGCTATTTGTGGTAAAAAATGTATTGGTTATAAAACTCAACAAACAAAGCTTTAATCTAGTTGATGAATAATTTTATAAAACTACATTACAATTTTTTAATGAATTGTTCTATAGCTCATATTCAAAAAAAAATATATGAGAAAATAGATTTTTGAGATTTTTTATACGTCGTATAAAAGAAAATGTTTTTATTAGGAAAGTTTGTTTTTTGCACTTAAAAATATCAATTTTCATAAGACAATTTTTATTTTTTTAAAAAATTGTTAAAATGATATATCAACTATAAATACAGAGAATGATGTTTAACATATGTTTTTTTTTTAAGTATAATGTGTAACATGTGAATACAATTTTTTAGTAACTCAAAGTAAAAATATCGTCAAACATAATTTTACTATCCATTACAATTTGATTTATTCACATAAAATAATCTATATGCTAATATTGATATTAAATCTCATATTAAAAAAAAAAAAAATCATTTAAATGTGTATCAAATATCATAAATAAATAAACGTTTTTTTTTATAAATTTATGATATGACTATAGCAATTATACCTACATTATAATCATTTTAAGTTAATAAAATATAATTAAATGTTATAATGGCTTGTAGCTTAGTTATAGGCGTACTATTGTTTGGCCGTGACCGCAAAAATATATTTTTCAAAATAAAAACCAAATTAAATGTTAACGTTTAATATTGCAAACATTTATTCTGTAATAATAATCTTATTATATTCTTAAAAAAAATTATGCTTATTTAGATAAGTATTATTGTATAAATATTTTAAAATTCCATATATTTCTGAAAACGTCGTATTATATCATATTTCATTTATATATTTACACATTTTAAAATTATTTTTAAACGAGATGCAATCTATGTCTTAGTTATATAATAATTTCCTCTTGTTTTAAACGTATTATACTTAGGATTAATATTTTTTTAAATTTATAAAGTTTTGAAATTGGCATTGTAAAACTAATTGTGTAATTTTTTTATAAAGAATTCTTTATAAAATATTTTAGACGAGTTAAGCAAGAACAATTAATTTGATATAAAACTGTAATTAAAATAAAAAAATTAACATTTTCTCTAATATTATTATTATTGATTGAATAATGTTTTCAAATTAAATTATCTGGAATATTAGATATATTACAAGTCAGTGGATTTGTATGTAGGAGAGACCTAGGCTAATTATTACACGAGTTGATTGTCATTATGTTAATTATTCCAAAACTAGATATTATCGATCATATTAAGTCATAAAATATGTTGTCAAAACAGTTATAATTATTTTAGTATTGATGGGAAGCACATTTAAGCTGTTAATAAAATTCTATATATATATATATATAAATAATTTGCTTTGTCAAGTAAATTTAATTAAATTTTGCTCTTTAATCGTTATTTTATGGTTCAACAATTCACATAAGTAAGAGTCTAAAGTAAACTTTTTTTTATCGTTTTCAGATGTTGTCTAAGTGATGACTTTATGACAACTTTTATTTTGAGTTGTGCATTGGGGCTAGTTATCACAAAACCTATAAATTGTCAAATATATTTTAAGTTAAAAAAGAGCAATGTCTATTTAACAAATAAGTTACGTATTACATAGTATTTTTTGTAAAAATTGTTAAGTAAAAGTATTATTTTGTTTGGTATAAAATTTAAATTTATTCCTTAGAACTGTTCAAAAAACAAGTTTTTACTACATAATGTATTTTATTTTATAAGTACAAATTTTTTATTGAAAAATAAAGTGTACTTTTTTTTGTTATTTGTCATTTTGATAACTTAAAACAACTAACCCCAAGGCTTGTGATAACCTATTCTTAAGTGGGGTCGGTTTTTACAAAATTTAAATGAAAAAAAGCTCGTTTTATATAGTATCCCTGTAGTATTTTCGTTTGATATTTTTACAACCAACTGATATATTATATTTTATTGTACACTTGTCACATTTTATAAGAAATCAGTTTCCTTTTCATAAAAATAAAACAGAAAAATTGTGACTAGGCCGGTTTTCCCTAAATATTATGAGTTTCAAAATCAACCCTAAACAGGTAATACTTTAAAATTCTAATAGTGTTTTATTCGTCCAAAGTAATCTCAACAGATTGTGCCGACTTAAATTATGTTCCTCACTTAAAATGATTGCACTACAAACTTTAAATGTAAAATATATTATTGTTTGATTTCGGTTAGTTGAAGGTAAGATTCATAGATTATGAATGAAAATTGAGCTGCATATTATCTTTAAATGTCTTAACATTTATCGTTATTCCACGTTTGCTAAATTCACTATGTTAATAATGTGGTGGCATATTTCATTAGTTCAACTGCATGACTTAAAATCACTAGTAAACAGTTAATCTAAATGCTCAAAAGTATTCTGAGTATATTTTCATTAATTTATTTACAATCCAATGCTAGTTATAATTATAAAAAAAACATTTTAATGACAACATTGAACTGTGAAACGTTCTCTTGACAATAATAACTAAAGTTATACAACTTTTAGATGAATGCAATGAGTTTTTATAACAATACGAATAGAGTTCAAGGATTTTAAATATTATTAGGAACAACTCTGAACATAGTATTTTTTTCTTCCTAATCCCTTTGCATTTTCACCATGTACGTCGACGGTTATATGATGTACCTAAAGTATAAAATTTAAATAACTTCATACGCTTCCAAATATGCATTTTCATGACTTATAGTCCGTTTCATATTCTGTAACACTTTTGGTTGTAAACATTTTATAGCTTTACGCGTTGACTTTCTAACAAAGCGGATTGTGATAAAAGAACCATATCGTTACGTTTACTTACTCCGATTTTCTGCTTCTTAGCTGACAAACGCGTTTACTTTGGTATCTATTTAAGCTTTGCTTTTTCAGTATAAACTGGTATTGACAAATCTACCCGCTGTGTTTAGCTATTAAAAAAGTTGTGTAATGAAATAATTTACCTGAAACTGCGTACGGTCTGTAAAGAGTCATCATTACTAAAACTAAATGTAGTTTGTAAACGTTGTCATAACTCTAATTGTTTTTGTATATTTCTACGTTCGCGCTCTATTTTATGCTAACAGTTTTGTGTCGTTGTTTACCAGGTTTATAACTGCAAAATTAGTTTGTAAAAGCCTTACATTTTTAATATTTGGATTGTNCTCTTGACAATAATAACTAAAGTTATACAACTTTTAGATGAATAAGTTTCCATATGTAAAAATTGCCATACAAACCGCAACACGATTGATTGGCGCTTTAACATAAAACAGTATAATAAATATTTATTGTTTACTGGAACTTATTGCACTCTATACACAGTAGCGGAATATATATTTTTGTATATGGAGTATTGAAATTATGATTGAACAAAATAAAATGTTGCCTGAATATTCTTTATATTGTTTTTAAAAGTATTTTATTAATAATAAGTTTATAAAAATTCATTCGTATAAAAATATTCTCCCAAGAATTTACATGAAAATTATTTATTTATCATTTATAAATATGCAGATAGTTATATTAATAAATATTGAAGTCACATGTTTTAATTTTTATTTAAAGATTTTATAAAAAATAATTTCTTAATTCCTGTTTTAATTGTAACTTATAAATTAATTTTTATAAATATTAATGAGTTTCAGATATTTGTGTCAATTACAAGATTGATTTGTCATTAATTTTTCTATCTAAATATAATGTTTATTTTTAAAGAAAAATTATTCTTATTAGTTATTTAAAATAATTTACTAATTATTAGCAAATTATTTTAACTAATTTTAAACTTGTTCACAAAGACATCTTGATCAATTTTTGATATATAAGATAATCAAACTATTAAAAACTAATATGAAATTTTATATATATTTTTTAAAATTAATGTAATATTTTTTTATTATTTTTTA